TAACAATGCGTTATGGACTTCCTCCACCTCCACTGGTATATTTTAACATAATTTTTGAAGGCTGCATATTATTTCACTATGAGGAGATATTTCCATTTACTTAACTATTGGTCAATTTTTAGACATCTGGGATGTTTCTAAACAATGCTGTGATGAACATCTTTGTGCCTGCTTAGCTCCTTCCCATTGGTTTGGTTCCTGGAGGTCTAAGCTGGAGTGAGGCTTCAGAGGCTTTCTATGCACACTGCCAAACTGCCCTGTGTATGTATTTACACGTCATCATCAGCAGGTGGATGACACAGGTCCCAGCACTTTCACCAAAATTGGATATTTTTACTTTCAAAAAGCTTTGCCAATGTGTGATCTACTGGTGCCCTTGATCTCAGCCTCTCTGGTCTGCTCAGGCCTTTGTTCTCTGAGGAAACACAGCAGGCTTAGCCTGAAGAGCTTCGTTTGAATCCTGCTACATAACTTGCTCTTTTGTGACCTCAGACAAATTACTTGACCTCTCAGACCCTTCACTTCCTCACCTATAAAATAAGGCCTGCAGCAGCACCCGCCATTACAGACTCAAAAGAGAACACATGTGAGGATTCGGCACGGGCCCGGCAGAGAAGAAGCGTTTGTTAAGGACTGGGGGCTTGTTATCTTATTTTTCTCCTGAACTGTCAAACTCTCCCTCTGCTTGTTCAGTCTGTCTCTGTACATCTGCTCAGGTGGCCTCGTCTAAACAACCTTGTCCCGCAGCCTCCCCTGAACCAGCCTCCCTTTCGGACTTCCCCCTCCTCCTCCACACCCCCTCCACTGTCGGCATTCCCAGGTCCAACCTCACCACTTCAGAAAGGACCCTCGCAACCTCCTAATTGCCAAATACCAAGTTCCCTCGTCCGCCCTTGTCTTATTCGACCTCTATGGCCCTCAGCACAATTCAAAACTGGGGAATTTATTACTACAGCAATTCTATATAGCTAACCTATTACAGCAATTCTAAACTAAACCAAAAGCGACGGAATTGTCTCTTT